GTGACGCTGTGGCCGGGGGGGTGTCGTGTGGGCACAGGGAGACTAATTTTGTGTTTGTGTCTATGGGCAGTGTGTGCTGCATGTCTGTGTCGTGTCTGTGCGCAATGCGTGTTGTGTGGTCGAGTTCAGTGTGTGTTGTGCTGGGTGCAGTGTTGTGTTCTATGTGCTGTGCGTCCACGTGCGTCCACGTGCACGGCGTGTGGCCCATGCTGCTGTTTGCTGTGCCTGTCCCGGGGGTACCTGGTATGTCACCAGTGAGTACTGGCTATGGGGAGCACCAGCCTTCCTGGCAACTGCCTCCCACATGGGTGAGTCCCTGCCAGCCCACAGGTGCTGGGACAAGAGGCCTGGCACCTTCTCCCTCATGCGGCCCCTCCCTGCCCCCTGCGCACTGGCTGCTGCCTGGGAGCGAGGCTGCAAGCTGGGGTGGTTTCCCTGGTCTCCAGTGTGTGGAGCTGGGCAAGTCCCGGGGGATGCACTGCAGGCACTGGGGGAACATGTTCACCCCCAGCCCCCGCTGGCTCGTCACCAGTCGTGGTGCCAGGCCAGCCGCTGCTTGCTCGTCATCAGTTGTGGCTCCAAACAGCCAACTTCTGGGCCGAGATCAGCCGGGGCCTGAGGGGGCAGAGTCTCTGTCAACCCCACGGAGGCCTATCAGTGAGGTCCCAGCCCTGGTGCCTGCTGCACCCAGGTGCCACAGGGAGCCAGGCCCTGCCCTATGGCTACACGCGCACATGGGAGCAGAGCACGGCTCTGTCCCTGCAGGTCACAGGAGCTGCCACGGGGGCAGATGCTGGAGCTTAATGCTCCTTTGCAGGGCAAGGACCCCGGAGCAAACACTGAAACAGGGATGCCTGGTCTGGGACGCTCCGGGGCGAGAACCGTGCCACAGCCGCAGGGCACATAAAGTGGGGATGGGGGGGGGGTTGACTGGGGCTAAAGATGGAAACAAGGGAGCCAACCCACTCCCTCCTCCCAGAGCAACCTGCCTGTTGGGATGGAGGGGTCTGGTTTCAGGGGAGAGGAGAGGAATTGGGGGGGGAAGGGGGGTGTTGGTCCCTGGGGCAGGAATTTGGGCTTATGAGAGTACTGCTAAAATGAACAGTGCTGAGAGAGTTAGCAGCGCTGCTGGCATTTGAACGGACATCAGAGTTAATGCCTCTTCGCCATGAATAGGGCAGTTTGCACCAGCCCCAGCGCCCTGCATTCAGGCTCCCAGTGGACCTAGGCAGCCATCTCTGCAGCCATTACCCTCACGGCACATTTCCAAATTCGGGGGGGGGGGGCAGCTTCTGAGGCGAGGGGTGGATTCTGGGGAGGCGGGAACAGCTTCTGGAGCTAGGGGTGGATTCTGGGGCAGGCCGCGGAGCAGCTTCTGGGGCGAGAGGTAGATTCCGGGAGGGGTGCAGTTTCTAGGGTGAGGGGTGGATTCTGGGGGGAGCAGATTCTGGGGTGAGGGGTGGATTCCAGGGGAGGGGGGAGCAGCTTCTGGGGCAAGGGTGGATTCTGTGGGGGGGGGAGCAGATTCTGGGGCAATGGGTGGATTCTGTAGCTGCACAGCGCCTGGCATCTTGGCGATGGCTCCACGGCGGAGCCAGGGGGATGCGAAGTAACATCAAGTTCATTGAAATGTGTGAGAGCCGCTGGGAGCCAAGGGGAGACCTGCCCTCTGGGCCCACAGGGAACCTCATGGACATGAACAACCCTGCAGCTGCCCGGGCAGAGTCTATACCCATCTCATCGCCCCACCGCTGGCCAGGGCCCTGCAGCTTCCCTCCCCAGCACCGCCAGACACTGCGATGCCACCACAAGGCCCCAGGCATGCCCCCCCACCCATGCATGCCACTTGGCCACTGTCCCACCCAGCTGGTAAGGTGTCCAAAGAGCCCAGCTCCGCCAGTACCCAGGGCCCCCGGGGAAGGGGGGGGGCTGAGCCGCACACAAGGGCTAGATCCTCAGAGGGATTTATGCCCCAAACCCCGCTCACCTGCCACCTAACCCTGGTGGTGCTGCTGGGACACAAGCCAGCAACACAGCACCTCACTGCTGCTGAAGCCCAGGCAGGACTCACATGCTAGGCGCTCCCCTGCCGAGCCCCCGGCAGTGCACAATCAGGCAGGGTCATTGGCGCAGGGCCTACACCCACAGCCCGGGTCAATGCCTCATGCTCTGCTCGCCCCAAGAGTTAATTATTGATACACTGTGGAATAGCTCTAAAAGCTGGTGAGAACCCTGGCCCAGGATCCGCTGCAGCCTGATGGTTCGGGCACTTGCCGGGGCAGGGGGAAGACCTGCTTTCACCTCCCTGCTCTGAATCAGGTCGAGGGAGGATTTGCCCTTATTAGCAAAGGCCTCAGATCTCAAAGGAAACCGTCTGCCACGTGCCCTGCCTACCACATGCTAATTGAACGAGCGTGAGTCCATAACTGCAGCTTACAGGCAGCATCCAGCTTCCCCGGGGCAGGGCCCAGAGCTGCAATTGTGGGTAGGGCGCCCTTGAGGCAGGTGAGTGCTGGGGCTGGCTGGCTGCAGTAGCCTGGGGGCAGTCATGTGCCCTTCCTCTCCACATTGCAGCCATCCTGAAAGCAGAGGGAAAGAGGCCAGGAGCAGGTGCATGGAGCTTGGCCCCTCCCCCCTGCTTTGGGGGTGGGGGCACAGGGTGCTGCTCCGGGGCAGAGACCAACTGTCCATCAGCACCTGGAGCAGCTCTGCTCAGCCAGGGCCAAACAGCAGGAGCCTCCCCGAGCTGCCAGTGCTGTACTGGGGCTCACACCTCCGAGTCCTGCCCCCAGCTCTGCCGCTGAGCTGTGACCCACAGGCAGCACCTGCACCTCCCTCCACAGGCTGCTGCACGGAGGGGATAACAACCTACTTATGCTGCCAGCAACTGCTTTAGGGGCAGGGGGCCAGGCCTTGGGTCTGCAGCTCCTGAGAGCCACGCAGGAAAATGCAGTACATGACCTTATTATTAAAGATGCAGCATGGGGGAGCCTTTGTATGTGAGCCTGGGGCATGGGGAGACCTCACTGCATCAGCCCCCCTCGCCAGCATTTCCACTGCTACATTCCAGCCCCAGCCAGGTCAGTGCTGATAGGGCCTGATGATGCACTGCCTTTCCCTTGCAGCTCCCCAGTGCAAATCCAGCCCAGCCCAGCCGGGATCAGAGCTGCTTCTCTCCCATGGCTGGCTGGTGGCCACAGTATGCAATGAGTTTGGTGGGTCTCAGAGCCACACCATGCAACATCCCTGCCCCCCCCAGGCAGGAAGGCTGCACCCTCCTGGCCCAGAAGCCTGGCAGCATTTTGGGGACTGGCTGCAGATGTGAGGGTTAGGCCAGAGGTGCAGGATTTGTGAGGCCATAAGCCACCAGGGGCTGCACCTGGGGAAACCTCCTCCTGCCCCGGGGGCAACTGGTTCCTTACAGAGGGTGGCTCACTGGGCCTCTCCAACCCAGGTCCTGTGAGATCAGCCAAGGAACCAGGCGCTCCGCCCCACAGGCAGCGCTCCCAGCTTGGGGGGCAGGGAGCAAACCTACAGTATGGGGAGGATGGGGGAGTGTGAGAATCAGAGTGTCTGCTCCAGCCTGGGGGGAAATGTACAACCCCACTGTTCTATGAATGGGTTCCGCAGAGGCACATTAGTGGGGCTGGGCTCCATTGCACCTGTTATCCTGGCTCCGCGGGTTGGGCTGTGCCAGGGAGGGGGCGCCCCCAGCCAGATGAGGCTGGAAGAAACAGAAATCAAATGAGGAGTGGGAGAGAGGACTACATGGCTCCTCCTGCCCATGCAGGGGCAGGCGGGGGAGCTCTCATGGTCAGCATGGGCAGGTGTGGGCAGAGGGGACGTTCTAGGCCCAAGAGGGAGTTAATGGGAGCTGTGGGGGGAGCTCCTGCACCATGCCCAGCCTGCCTGGCACCCCAAGCACATTGTCCCCACTCATGTCCTCCCCCCAGGCATTGCCATCCTCCCCCTCAGCCTGCCTGGCCTTGCCAGCTCTCTGGGAAATCACCACGCTTCTTCAGGCTCCTGCCCTTCCATGAATGGGGGCACATCCCTGTGCCCCCAGCCCTACCCCTAGCAAGGGGGCTGAGGGCAGGCCTTGCTGGGACAAAAGCCCCTTCTCCTGTGCGGGTCCCTCTGCCCCAGCCCAGTGAGCAGGGTGGTGCAGCAGCCACCCTCGGGGAGTGGGGGTAGGGGCGGGCAGAGGCCCCTGCATGCCCAGCCAGCCAAGGAGCTCTGTGCGGCCCCAGCCCAGAGATGCCTTGCATGGGCTGGAGCCCATGTGGCGTAGTGCTGCTGCCCTCTAGGGGTTGGCTCAGGGCAGCCAGCTGTGTATCCAAGGTCCCATCCTGCCCACAGCTTAGGGGGACTCCCCCTCACTTTCAAAGGTGCTTTGTGCAACAACGCCCTGAGCAATGGGGCAGACCCAGGCATGGAGAGGGTCCCCCCCATATGTACTTTCCCCACTGAACCTCTCCCAACCTGCAGCAATGGCTCCTACGGGAGCAGAGAGCTCCCAGGCCTGGCTCTAAACAGCCCTATAGAACTACCTTGAGGAGCGAGATCGCAGGGAGCAGCCAGCCCAGCCAAGCCCCAGCAGAAGCCAGGGGACAGAGTGGGGGTAGCAGGATGGACCAAGTCTTGTCCTCTGGCCCAGGGAGCAGCCAGGGTGGGATGGTGGGGTGTCCAAGTCCTACCCCCGAGTCACTGACTCCAGCCGCCCCTCAGCTCAAACACTTTAATCGGGTTCCAAGTCATCGTACACGGAGTGAGAACATCACACAAAGCGGCGGCCCCCCGAACCGCCTCACAGAACAGGGCCCCCCACCCAGGGCACCAGGCATCAGATGCCCTCTCGACACAAGAGCAGCCACTCAGGGCAGGACCAGCTGCAGGCCGGCCCCAGCAGGGTGCTGGCTCCATGGCACAAAGGCTCCCTGAGGCAGGAAGGCGGTGGGCAGGCCCCCGCCCCCTCCAGGTTCTGGCGAGCAGCCCCATCCCACGCACATGGCCAGGATCCTGCTCCCACCGGAGCAAACCAGTCAGAATCCACTTGGCGCCAGGCTCTGCTCTGCCCTGCCCCCACCGGCTGGGCCGAGAGCCGGGAGCCCCGCGACGGCACTGCCCCCTCAGCCCACGATGACGCTGAAGCCGCAATGGAAGCGGTTCTTCCAGTGGTTGAGGAAGGCGCCCAGGGCCAGGGTGACAGGCAGAGGTGGTAGCTTCTTCTCCAGGACGCCCCCCACGCACCAGTTACTGTCCAGGAGGCCTGCAGGGGAGGGGACAGGAGCCAGTGGACAGCTGGGCGTATCCCCATCCCCAGCAGCCGAGAGACCATGCCCCGGAGCCCAGCCCCCACAGCTCAGAAGCCCCATTCCCAGCTGGAGAAACCTCGGTTGAGTCCCAGACTCCAGGTCATAGAATCATAGAATATCAGGGTGGGAAGGGACCTCAGGAGGTCATCTAGTCCAACCCCCTGCTCAAAGCAGGACCAACACCAACTAAATCCCATCCTGCTCTGCCCCAGAGCCCAGCACAGGGCTGCTCCTGGGGCCTTGGGGCCATGAGCAGACCCCCAGCATGCCATCTGCCTGAGCCTTGGGGACCAAGTCACCAGCTCCTCCTCCCTGACCCCAGCTCCTCTAGAGCTGTTGCTGAATCAGGGGAGCGAAGGGCCAGGAGCCCCAGGCCAGAGGAGCTGCCAATGGAGCAGGAGCCACCAGCCAGAGTGGGAGAGGGGCGAGCAGCCAGGCAGCCCTGAGCGCACTCGGGGGGGACACAGACAGGGGGCTCTCCCAGGGCGAGGCTGAGCGTCGATCAGCTCCTGCCCCCTGGCAGCCCCCGGGACAAGTCACAGGGCACGCTGGCTGCTGTCTCCACCCCTTGTGCTCCCAGCACTCAATGCGGTTGGGGGTTGGCCCCACACAGCCAGATTGGTGCCCCGCTCCTGCAGAACAAGCAGCAGAGGCAGGAGAAAGCCCTGCCTCAGGAACAGGGCCTTTCCCCTCTAGGGGGCGCCAGCTCCAATCCAGCCCAAGGGCGAATGGATTGACATGGGGGATATGGGGCCTTTCTCCGCTAGGGGGTGCCAGCTCTGATCTGGCCCCAGGGAAAGGGAAGCGACTGGCTTGGGGTAAATGGGTCACAGGGCTTTTCCCCTCTACGGGGCACTGGCTCTGATCTGGCCAAAGGGCGAAGGAACTGACCTGGGGGATGTGGGGCCTTTCCCCTCCAGGGGGCGACAGCTATGGTCCGGCCCCGAAGTAGGGGGTGCTTACTGGCTCGGGGGAGATGGGATATGGGGCTTTTCCGCTCTAGGAGATGCTGGCTCTGGTCCAGTCCCGGGGTCAGGGGACTGGCTGGCTCAGTGAGGGGATGGGAGATTTCACAAAACCCTGGGCAGAGGCTTCTAGCCCTTTTCACTAATACAGCCTTACACACAATGAACAGGCAGGTGGTTCGCCTCTGCCCCCTACAGGATGGGATGCGAACAGCTCTGCTGTGTGCAATAGGCCCTATACTGCTCAGAACAGGGAGATTCCCCTGTAGCTCAGGGACTCTAGGCCTGCACTGTGGTAGCCGGGGTGTCCTGCTTCCATGCTCACTGCTGCAAAGCCCCAAGATGGTGCTGGGAGCTGGACAGGGCAGCTGGGACGTTCCCGCATGGCACAGAGGAGCGAGGGGAGAGCAGGTACGGGACAGGCTCCAGGCTCGGGTCAGCCCTCAGCAAGTGGGCAGAGGGAATCAGAGGCCAAAAGCCCAGAGTGGAGTTGGGAAGACTCCAGCTGTGAACATCCTCAGTCCAAGTCTCAGTAGGCTCCCGCCAAGACCATGCAGCCATGTTGGAGGAGGAGTGATTTTGCACCTTCTGGCACTGTGAGGGCAGGGCGTTTGTGGGTCCAATGGCCCTGGAGAAGCCCTGCCCCCTGGGAGACGCTGGCACAGCCCTGGCCAGCCCCCTGCACAAGTGGGGGCTGGCCTGGCTCCACACTCACCTCGGAAGACCATGTTGGCCTTGGGCAGGTTGAGCTGGTAGCCAAAGGCGAAGGTCGTGTCCTGTAGCCGGGTGTTGGCCTCCAACTCCACCCCGACCTGCACCTGCAGGGGAGAAAGCGCAAGGTGAGAGGTGCCCCACGGCTGCCCTGGAGGATGGGGGCAGTCCCCAGGGGGACTGGGCTCACCTGCTCATTGGCTCTGTGATAGTAGCTGGCATGGGCACCGCCATAACCAATGTTCAGCGTCGCCACCCACTTGAGAGCTGCAGAGATACAGAGGGAGTGAAGCTGGCAAGGGGCTGGGAACGGCCTTTAACTCACTCAGAAGCGTGCTGGGGTGGAAGCCTGGCCAGGAGGGGACAGCTTGAGTAGGCGCTGCACAGGCTTCCCCTGCGATGCCCCTCTGTGCTGACCCACAGCCCCTGCTATCCCAGCCAATGCTCCCCAGTCCCACCCCTGCCCCCCACGCCCTGGGTCTCTAAGCAGGGGTACTAGCTGTGCCAACCCATGACATTTCTGTGCTCCAGGGCTGGGACAGCCTCCCCACCTTTCCCCAAGGCTCAGCTCTGGCACAGTCAGGGCTGGAGCAGTGACGAAGCCAAGCTCGTACCCGTGTACTTCCCTGCCAAGGTGACGATGGCGCCCTCCTCGCCCGGGCGCCGGTGATACACCATCTCCCCGCCCAGCACCAGCCGTGAGGTCACGCTCTGCAGGAAGTGAGCCACCACAATGACTGCAGGGAGGGAGAAACCGTTAGCGCCGGACCCCGCAACCATCACCCCTTCGCTATGACGGCAGGGTCCGGCATTGTGTGGTGCCTTCCAGTGCCACCTCCCGGGGCCAGCCAATGGGAAACTGAGTCACTGAGCAGGGAGGGGCCTGCCCAAGGTCACAGCGACTCGGTGCCAGAACCCAGGAGTCCTGACTCCCAGCCCTGCACACTAGCCCACGCTCCCCACTCCATCTGACATGGGGGGGCTCATCAGCCCCACAGCACAGAGCTAGCTGCCCCACTGCTAGCGCCAGAGCAGCATGCCCATGGGGCTGGGCGCCAGGCTGTCCACACCCGGTAGGGGTTGCAGGGGCTGCTCCATGCCGAGCCCTGGGCTGCGGGCGGTGGAAGGAGCCAGTGGCAGGAGAGTTTAGGACAGGAAGTGAGGCAGGACAACGGGGCCCACGGGGTGGGGCCCACCTGATTGGCTGAGCACGTCGGGGTTGCCCAGCGTTAGCGTGGCCGTGTAGTCGTCGCCACGGAGCTCCCCGTCGAACTGCCACGTCACGAACCGGGCCTGCTGCGTCTGCAGGGAGCGGCGGGGGCTTAGCCGGGGGCGCAGCACCCCCTTCCCCACACCCCACCCCAGACTCCCCATGCCCTTCCCAACATGCCCCTGCCCCATGCCTCCCCCCAGCCCCACTGTCCACCCTGCCCCATCCCCATCACAGCCTCACACTCTGCCCTGTCCCACACCTCACCCATTGGCCCCATTTCATCCCAACCCCATACCTCGCCTCACAGCCCCACCACAAACCCTGCCCCAACCCTTACCCAATGCCCCACGCTGCCCCACGGTCCCTCCCGATCACAGCCCCATGACCCAATCCTGCCCCACACCTTACCCCATGTCCTCATGCCATCACGAGGGCTCACTGGGGAGCAGCCAGTAAATCTCACCTCTATCCACTCTCCTTCCCTCAGCAGCTGGGGCCATGACCTGACTGTGTCCTCCCCTCAAGCCCCTTGGAGGGCCCTTGCTAGGGCTCCAGGTACAGCTTGGCACCGGGGAAAGCAGAGCCAGGCCCTGGCAGAGAAGAGCAAACCCAAAGCAGGTCCCCACCCAACCCAGGGCAGCTCCCCCCGGCTCACTATGATCATGGGGGGCATTCCTGCTCCACCCAGCCTTCCCTGCCCCCACCCTTCAGCCCTGGGGTTCTCTGTCCCCAACCGGTGCTCCACGCAGATTTCCCCCCAACTACTCCTGCATTTACAGCCTCCCCAGGGAGTTCCAATTAGCAGGGATTAAGCCCCGCAGGACTGATGCATACTAGGACACACCCAGTAACCAGGGGTGCGTTGGGAAGACTGTGCTCAAGGGGGTGGGGAAGCTGCGCACCAGAGGGGATTTCATCCCTTCCCAAGCACAGTGCTCCCATGACGGGTGCGGGGTCTGGCTACAGCCACAGCTGGAATCACACAACCTGCAGCACCACATAGGGGCTGCGAGGGGCCCAGCAGGCACTGGGAGAGAACACTTGGCCCCTACCCTGCAGACTGCCCCGGGGGGGCAGGCACTGAGGGAGCAGTCCCCATATGCCCCCCAGGGGACAGGGGCTGAGCCGTGTCGCTGTCCCCACTGCACAGAGGGGGAAACTGAGGCACAGCAACTGCCGGGCAGTATTAGAACAGGCAAGGGGAACCCAGAGTCCTGGTTCCCACTCCTGCTCTAGCCACTAGTCCATGCTGCCCTCATTGCTCCAGCGCTTCTGCATGGAGCTGAGAAACTGGAGCCCCTCCCCCAGCCTCAGCCCTCTCCTTTCCAGCCCAGGGCACCCAAGGCAGCACAGGGACTGGCTGGGCTCCAGCCCCCCACAGCTCTAGGGGGTCAGCGTGGCCAGATTAGCGGCTGGGAGAGTGCAGCAACCACCAAGGTCCTAGCGCTTAACTTGCAGAGTCAGCACTTCGAACACCCCACATGCGGCCAGCCTCCCCGACTCTGCACCATGCCCTGCTCCCCCCACTCCACACACACGCCAAGCCCCCCTCCTCCCCACACATGCTCAGCCCCCACCACCTTCACAACCCCTCAGTTCCCCCACCTCCATGCACATGCCCAGCCCCCTCCTCTCCACACCCTGCTCCCCCCACCTCCACAACTCCCCCACACCCTATTCCCACCTCCACACACCCCCAGCCATCCTCCTCCCCACACCCTGCTTCCCCCATCTACATAACCCCCCAGCTCCACCTTCACACCCATGCCCAGCCCCTAATGCCACACCCTCTCTCCCACACCATGCCCCCCACGCCTCCAACACACCCTGGCCCCCTAATGCCACACCTCCCCCTGACACATAGTCCCCCACTCCACCCACACCACCTCCTGCCTCCCCATGCCACACCCACATGCCATTCCTTTTACATGCCCTGCCCCACACCCGGCCTCCACCGCTCCCCTGCAGGCCCAGGGCGGGGCCTCACCTGGAAGACGGCCTTGGTGCGGATCCGCTCCACCACCAGGTGCAGCACCTGAGCGTTGAGGCTCCCACCACTGTCGATGTCCCCGACGAGCATGGGGAAGGTCTGCAGGGACAAGAGGCACGGCGCTGGGATGGGACTACGCCGGGAGGTGCTGGGTCCCCTCGGGGGAGCCCCACACCAGCTGCACGCACCCCAGGGATGGTGCAGTCAGCAGCCCCGGCGGCCCCTGGCTGCAGCAGGGGAGCCACCTGCCTAGGGCGCCTTCCCTCCTGCCCAGCTGCCGTGTTCCCACTCTGCTCGGGGGCAGGGGGCAGCAAGTCTGCCGGGTCTCCTCAGCCTGGCTCCTGGGAGCACGAGCTGTGCTGGGGGCCTCCACACCCCTCCCCCCCAGCTGGAGCTCTGTCTCCATCCCATGCCTCACACACGCCTCCCTCGCACAGGGGCTCCAGACTGAGCACAGGCTGGGCTCTCCTGCTCCCCCTGGTGGCACCTTCCAAGCTAAGCACTTCCAAAAGGAGAGAGCGGACTGGGGGCTAAGCCCCAACACTTCAGCCTGACCCCCATTCCCACCCCTAGGACCGACACACACAGCCCAGGCCCAGCCTCCAAGCCAGAGCCCTGGCCCACACACATGGCCATGCCAATCCCGTCAGGGTGGCTACCGTGCCAGCGGGCTGCTGTCAGCCCTCAATGTTCAAGTATCCTGAGTCAGGCTCCAAAGCACCCTGTGATGGCTTCAGAACGAGGGGAGAACTGGCTCCTTTCCCTCTCCTGATGGTGCTGGGGCCTTCGGGGTGCACTCAGGTGCCAGGTTCTCTCCCTGGGCGGGGGACAGGAAGCCCATTCAGCACTGGGCCCTGGAGGCAGCTTGGCTGGGGGGCCCTGCAGCATCCAGCCCTCCTCCACCGCACTGCAGCGTGACCACAAGGAGCTCACCCACCACACAAGGAGGGGCACTCAGAGCCAGCTTGTGGCCCCAGGCCCGCTCTGAAGGGGACGGGGGGGAAGAGCGCTGCTGCCGCCATGGGTCATAAGTCCCTCAGGCGTCTGGTTTGCCCAGCACTCCCTGTAAGAACCTGGCAAGATGGTGCCAGCTGGATGCCCACATGAGCAGGATCCAGGGATTCTAACCCAGATGGGGGGTGAGTGGCAGGGCTGGCTCCCAGTGGCTGCTGGTGGCAGGTCACACGTCCATCCAGCAGGCAGAGGGAATCTTCCACTGGGGCTCAGTCACTCACCTGCCACGGACCACAGCCTGTGTGCGGATCCCATACATCCCTCAGGAGGGGACCCCTCGCACTGCTGGGGCAGAAACACCAGGGTCCCAACCCTGACCCAGCTCCCTGTGAAGAGGCTCAGGCCTTGACCAACACTAGCATCTCTCCCGGATCTGCTCCTCCCTAGCACTAGGGCGAGCCACCAGCATTCATGGACATGCTTCATACACCCTCTGCCCGCTCGCTCGGGGAGCTCCGGGTCAAACCTGCTGCAGAGACGGGGGAAGGGATCCAAGTAAGTCACAGAGGCAGGGATAGAACCCAGGAGTCCTGGTCACAGCCCCCTGCTTTCATGGGCAGATTTTCTAGCATGCTCAGTTACCACCAAGTACACTGGAGGATCCCCCGGCCCCCACTGAGAACAAGGGGAGCTGTGGGGTGCTGAGATCTGTGCGTCTCAGACCCCACTCCATGCTGGCCTGGCTCCCAGCACCTGCTCCAGCCCCCTGCACTTTGGGTCCCAGCTCACCTCGGTGGGACTGAGCTGCCGGTCCCCTACGTAGGTGGTGTTGAAGTGGTAGCTGGACTGGCCGACTGTGCTCATGTGAATGGTGTGGGTGACCTGGGGAGGACACAAGGGGATCAGGCTGTGCTGGGGTAGGATGCCGTGTGCAACCCTCAAGGGCTCCAGCTCCTTCCAGCCCAGCCAGCGTGGACAGTGCCACCTGATCACTGCCCCCCACAGCCCAGCTGTGGCTCCCCTTCTCCAGAGAGTACAGCGCCCTCCGTTGGCGACCCAGTGTGAACCTGCCTGGTTGCACTGCACACTGGGATGTGTAGTCTCCACAGGCCGCACCTCCAGAGGAAACATTAGGGGGTGCGTGTCCTTACAGAAGAGGGGTGGGTGAGGTGACAAAGCCCCCGCTCATTGCGCCAACCCCCTGCCCAGATCTTCACCTCGACACCCAAGCCAATCCAGCCACCTGTCGGTGGGTACTTAGTTGGTGGGTTTGAGCCCGGCTCCGAGAGGGAACATGTCCACACCCCCATCTCCTTCCCCCCAGGCTTTCTTGGCTGCAGAGGGGCCAAGGCATGCACTGGAAGGGGCCCTCCAGCTCCACAGGGGGAAGCAGGTGCTAAGTTAAGGCCTGGAGGGTTCTAGGGAGGAGGGAAAGCAGTTGGAGGCACGAGCCTCAACTGACCTGGAAGTGGCTGCTCAGGGCCTTGTTGATGATCAGCTTCACCCCTTCCATCTGCTGGGGGAAGACTTCTGTAAGGAGATGTGACAGAGAGGGGCTTAGACACACAACGCAAGGACCCACGGAGCCAGAGACAGGGCAGCTGGCTCCTCTGTGCTCCAGGCCCCACAGCTGGGGCCAAGCTCAACAAGGACAATGAGTCGGAGGAAAGGCAACTTGGGTCTTCACCGCCATCCTCCTTCAACCCTTACTAGTCCAGGGCTCAGACCATCCCCAGCCATCTAACACAAATTAACTCCCTCCCATCTGCACACAGTCACTTGTAGCGCTGCCAATCGCAGAACACGATCCCACAGGAGAGCTGAGTACCACAGCACTCTTGCTATGGGACACTGGAACAGCTGGGAGCTCCCCCACAGCCATCGCCCCTGCCCTGGTCCCTGCAACACCCCCGCTGGCAGTGGCTGGCAGAAGCGCACTCTCCAATCCCCTCAGCATGCCTCTGTCCCAGGGGTGGCCAAGACTCACCTTTGCATTTCCGGTGGAGCTCATCGAAGCTACCCGGGTTGGTAAGCGGCTCCTCCCGGCGCAGCGGTCTGTGCAAGTCGAGCACTGGTCCCAGCACGTTCCCCATCACCCCTCAGGCCGCGCCGCCTGGCCCTGGGACACAGGAGTGTAACCGCCCTCCAACCCACCCTCAAATCCCTGCCTCCAGTCTGAGGAGGGAAGGCCCGGAGAGTTTGGGATCAACAGGCGCCACGGGTTCCCCAGTCAGAGCACACCCAGCTGCCCCCAGCCCCTGGGACCCTATGCACATGACACCCAGCGGGGTCTGACACCTGCACGGAGCTGGGCTGAGATCGTGTCCCCACTCCCCCGGCCCTTGGGTCAGCACAACTCAGAGCCCGGGACGGAGGGTGGCTGCCCACAGGAGCTGGGATGCACGAGGTGCCCTGAGGTGGAGAGAGGGGATAACTGCCCACAAGACAAGGGGGAAGAGGGAACGGGGGGCTAGTTGTTGGGGGGGAAGCCCTAGGTGGGGGATGAAGAGCTAGTTGGCAGGGGGCAGTGGGGTTGCAAGGGAGGGGATGTAGGGGTTTGGGGGGCTGGTATAGAAGGATCTCCCCAGGCAGGGGTTGGGGGACCCGCTAGGGTTTGGGGGCTCCCCGGGCAGGGGTTGGGGGGCTGGATGCTGGGGGTTCCACAGGCAGGGGTTGGGGGACTCTTTGGGGTTTGGGAGCACCCCGGGCAGGGGTTGGGGGGCTGGATGCTGGGGGCTCCCCAGGCAGGGGTTGGGGGACTCGCTAGGGTTTGGGGGCTCCCCGGGCAGGGGTTGGGGGGCTGGATGCTGGGGGCTCCCCAGGCAGGGGTTGGGGGCTCGCTGGGGTTTGGGGGCTCCCCGGGCAGGGGTTGGGGGGCTGGATGCTGGGGGCTCCCCAGGCAGGGATTGGGGGGCTCCCAGGCCGGGGGTCTGCCCCGCACGGTGCCTCTAGGTGTTGCCGCCCCCTGCTGCCCCGCGCCCGGCGCTCACACGGCCCGGCCCCCGCGCTCCGCTCCGCTCACCCTGAGCTCGCTGGGCGCGGCCATCTTGCGCCCGGGCGCGGCCCACGCAGGAAGTGGCTTCACGGGAGCGACCGCCGCCTCGGACGCCATGTTGGAAGCGGGCACCCCGCCCCCCACGTGCCTTCGGGCCGCGCGGGTCAGTGGGGCGGGGCCTTGGGGGGCATAGGGTGAGCGGAGCAGCTGCTGACTGAGGCCGCGGGTGCTTTGCAGGGTCACTCCTTTGTACCGCCTGTTCTCGTTAATTATCCCTTGTGTTGCCAAGCGCCCGTCACCCTGGATCCGGGCCTTGGGGTTTGCCCCCCTCTGACCCATTGCCGTCCTTCAGCAGGCCCAGACCGGCCACGGAGGGACCAGCTGCCAGAGCCGGGCTTGGGTGTCAGGGGTACTTGTGGCTCCTGTGACTCTGGACAGCTCCCATTGCAGCTCCCTGCCTCAGTTTCCCCATCTGCACAATGGGGCAGTGATACCGACCCCCAACCCCTGGCTGTTGGGGGGCCGAGGTCACTAGTGTCTGTGAAGCGCCTGATGGTCATTAGCCCTTCCCCACTGTTTTTGGTTAAGGGGGGAGGGGCCCCTGGAGGCCTGCACAAACCCCAGCCCAGGCAGCCTCCCCTCTCCCCCCCTGCACTTTCTTTAGGGCACTCCCTCTTCCCAGCCATTGGCACCGTTGCTATGCGCTGTTAGCCCCCACCCCCAGGTGGCTGCATTTTCAGAGGGGCAGAGTGACCCCTCTCTGTTTGGGTTGATGACTGTGCCTGGCTGGGACCCCCCCAGGCAAGGCCGGCTCCAGGCACCAGCGTTCCAAGAAAGGGGCGGCAGAGTCTCCGCGGGGGCGGCAATTTGTCTCTCTCCTGCCGCTGGCGGCGAAAGTTTTTTTCACTGCTTGGGGCAGCAAAAACGGTAGAGCCTGCAAGAGGGCGGAGGCTCATCAATGTGTATTAAAGCCGAATGTCCAGTCGGAGCAGGGTCTATGACCGGACAATGGTTCTGCCTCACTCCCGATCCCTGGCTTCTTCTCCCTGCCACAGCTGGGGTCTGGGAGCCACGCTGAGCTCTGTCCACCTCCCCCCCATTGACAGGCTGCAGGACCCTGTCAGAAGGGACCATCATGATCATCTAGTCTGATCTGCACATTACGGGTCACAGAACCTCTCCCACCCACTCCTGTAATAGATCCCTAACCTCTGGCTGAGTTACTGACGTCCTCAAATCATGAGTTAAAGACTTCAGATTACAGAGAATCCATGGCCATGGGGCTTCCCAGCAATGGATCTGAGCAGCTGCAGTTTCCTGCCCCGGGCTGGGTTTGGGGGTGTTTCCAAGCTGGGGGTCTACAACTGGCTGGAGCACAGCATTGCAGGAGCTGGCTGCTGAATGAGGGAGCAGGTGAACTGGGGGGCAGGGGAAGTTGTAGGGTGCCATACATCAGCAAGGGTAAGGGGGACCTGTTTTCTCCCTGTTCCAGCTCTTTGTTCTGATGGGAGAGGGAGCCCCTTTCTCCCCAGAACCTCCTCCCATGACCCCTGATCACAGGGCCCTAGGTTGACCAGGTGGTCCCCCTGCAGAGTGGGGTCCTGGCCATGTCGCCTCAGGCCAGGCATGTTAGTGAACCCCCCACACCACATAAAGGAGAGGAACCCTCTGCACCCTGTGACCCAGCTGGAGCAGGGCCCTCGCTGGCCAGCTCCCAGCCCCTGCTCGCTCTCCATGGCCCACTGCCTCCCCACAGTCAACACAGGGCTTTCCTGGAAACAGAATCAAACAAACAAAGTGACCAAGCTGGAGAAGCCTGGCAGGGCCTCTGAGCTGCCCTTGTTTTTATCTGGCTTTGAGGGCAGGAGCCCAGCAGGGCCTGCCCCCTTGTATCCCCCTAGGGCCTGCGATCTGCTGTCCTGGGTGTGTTCCCAGCTGTGGGGAAGGAGCCTAGAAAAGGTCTGCCCTGGTGCTGCCTGTGTGGGGTTGGCACTTATATAACTGGCCCTTTGCACAGAGGAACATGAGGCCTCTCTCAACATGGGGCCTCTCCCTGTGTCAGGGAAGCAGCCAGGCGTGGGAGCAGCCACACAGCCCTTTGGAGGTGCCCCTGACCAGGATGGTTTGTGCTGGACTGCAGGAAATGGGATGAGCCCAAACTGGGCCCTGGACACCTCTGGGCTTTAGGAGAGTTCCTGCCTGGGCCCCGTTTTGGTGGGGCAGGTGGAATAGGCCTATCTGTGTTGGAAGGTGGCCCTAATGTAGAATTGATCAATGAAATTGATTTTAATTGTTCACTTTATTAATATAACTTCATAAGCAAAGTTTTATGAATGAAACTACATTCATTCATAAACCAGGTACCCCAATAACTGGCTAATTGAGTTTCACTTTCAATCCAATTGCTGCTGAAATTTGCACTGCTTCAACATTGTAACTTCTGCTCACTTTTTGTCATTCATTATACTTGTTCGTATTGGAACTTCTGTTCTCTGTCTGCTATTCCTTACACTTGTCCATGTTGTAGCCCAAACTCCATTTTTACTTGTCCCAAACTCCATTTTAAAATGCTCACTTCATTTTTGCAAAACCCTGCTGTAATCTGATTTGTGTAGTTTAGATGTGTGAATGAGGGATGTGTGGATGATGGAATCAACCTCCAGCCCCGGCCCGTCCTGATGAAATAAAGTGTAAACACCAACGGCTGAAGATGCAGACAACAGCCCTGACAAAGTAAGAGGAGTCCAACCTCAAAAGAAAAGAACAAAAGTACAACTGAAGGAACATCAAAGCCAAGTCCCAGGCTGAAAGTCATGTCTGCAATTGACGGGTGATCAATCACACCGGACCCAGAGGCAGCGTGACACAGCAAGACCTATAGACTCTGGATCCAAACTCAACCCTACAAAAAGGATGGGTGAGAGGGAAGACTTTGGAGAGTAACATTCCACTGCCAACATGGAAGGGCATCGGTGCATGCCCCACAGAGACCCAGCCCTTCCTTGTGTCTGGCTTTCCTGGCCAGTTAGCCGCCACAAGCAACGAAAAACGGGGGATTGGTCCTGCTTTGAGCAGGGGGGTTGGACTAGATGACCTCCTGAGGTCCCTTCCAACCCTGATATTCTATGATAACCCAAGCCACAAACTCAAGCTACATTCAGGACTGGTAACTATCTAGCAGCTGCAGAACATTTGGGCGGGGGGGTAGGTAATTAGATATTAGTTATTGGTCTTAAATCAAATTGTGTTATTATAATAAACGTGACATCCTGTCTTGTCCCCTGAAATGATCCTGTGCAGTTTTGTCTGTATAACGCTAACCCAGAGGGCAGGGAGAGGGGCTGTGCCAACACAGAGTAGAGCTGGTATGGAATAGAGCTGTTTGCGACCACATTCTGTATGAGATACCAAACCTGTCCCCAGGGCAATGCTTGGGTTACAGGCGCCAGGGGTTAAGTCAGGAAATGCTGGTGCTAAGTTGATCTGGGTAACTCTAACTGGGCCCTATGGGACAGGGGCGGGGAATGCTGCAGGCTCTTTCTTTGACTGGGACTCCTCTATACATAAGGAGTGAGCAGTAGATTTTCACCCACCAATGATTTTCATTTTAAAATGAAGGAAAACCAGAGCAAGAAAGATGCAACACGTAGGTGAGAACACAGTGTGCGTCTCCTCTAACAGTCTGCAACACGTCTGAGCAAATGGCTGGAGGAGAGGGATGAGGAACATGATGGTGCCACCCACAGAGGCCACGAGGCTGCCCAGTTAGGCGCTCCAGACACTGCAGTGAGCATCTCCCAGGGGTTTGTCTATACACACATCCTCCGGGCCTGGATGGGATCCTGGCCTGGCCTCTGCTCATGGTTACAGCTGGGGGAATCCCCAGGAGCTGTGTCAGTGCCAGAAGGTGACTCCAGCTTCACACAGACGTCAGCGAGATCCTGATCTGGGCAGGTGACCCTGTGTGCATCCCCCAAGTGCCCAGTCATCCTGCCAACATCGGGCCAAACCCAGGCAGTGAGCCAAACCCATGGCCATCGCAAGCTCCAGTGGAGAAGCAAACGGCTCAGCACCTCTGGGTTGGGGTCTGTGCATCTGTAGGCACAGTGGCATGGGGGGCTCAACTTGTGCCCTAGGGCTGTCCACCAGGCCAGGCGCAGAACCCCGGCCCACACCCGACCTGAAGGGGGGCTGCCAAACTAGGCCATTCCCCCGCTCCAAGGCCCCACACCAGCCGAGCCTTCCCCCCGCCCGGGCTGCCCTGGCACATGCCAAGTGTAGCACTGCAGCTCGAGGGCTCTGGGCTCCACCCAGCCCCCGCAGAGGGCCGCACGCTTGGGAAAGCGAGGGCTGCACATCTGCCTTGCCCTTCTGGGCTCAGGGATTTGCTAGCCCTGTTGCTGGCTGACCCAAGGTCTTGTCTCCCCATAATCCCGTGGCCAGGAAAGCCACAGGGCCCCTAGTACTGGGCCAGCTCCAGGGACCTGCCATGTGACAACGGGAGAGAGCCAGCAAGCCACTTTCTGCTGCTACTGACTGAGGAGCTTTGTCTGAGTCAGGGAAACCTTACAGCTGCCTCCCGCTCTGCTGGCTGCACCGGGGAGCATCTGCCATGGGCCCGCCCAGCCTGGCTCCTCACGTGGCTGGGCACTGGCCTGTGGCAGGGGCAGGTGAAAGCCCCTCTAGGTGCTCTGTGGAGTGGTTAGGCACAGGAGGGGGAGTGCTGCTCCTGGTCCTCTCGGGCAGGTCACATCTTGGCTCTGTGCCTCAGTTTCCCCAGGGGCTGTGGGCTGGATAAATAAATGCTGCTCGAGGGCTTTGAGATCCTCCAAGGACAGGAGCTGGAGAGCAATGAGTGCTCTTACACCGTCCTGCACTGTGCAGCTTAACCTGGAATGTCCCATGGGGCCAATCCTCCCCCCTCTCCCTCCCCCCCACCCCGGCCGCCCCCGCTGACTCATCCTGACATGTTGGAGGTTAACAGTCAGTGAATGATAAGATTAAGCCACACTGGCCTT